GGGGGGGTCCTGTCACGAACTCCTCCAGCTGACTGCATTCCATTCATTCCTGCCACCAACGTGGCGACTGACGTCATCACGCCGGCACTACTTAAGGAAGTGCCGGCGTTTCATTCATTGCTCAGTCATCGTTTCTCACCAGACTTTGTATCGAGTCTCCAGGCTTACCAGCCCTCAAAACACTCAAACTACACCTACAGGAGATAACCACGCCGGCTATCTCCGTCTCTCCGCATCTGGGCAACAGAACTCTCAGTCACGCTTCAGATCTGCCAACGAACCTGACACTCTCCAGAAGGGGTTTATCCGACATTCCACGTCTCCTGGGGCGGCAGGGTTCTTCTTTGTGAAGAAGAAGGAAGGTGACCTCCGGCCCTGTATAGACTATCGTGGGTTGAATAAAATCACCATCAGGGACCGCCATCCTCTTCCCTTAATGAGCACGGCTCTGGACGCCACTGCCCAAGCCACACTGTTTACCAAGCTGGACCTCCGCAGTGCATACAACCTCATCCGCATAAAGGAAGGAGAGGAGTGGAAAACCGCTTTCATTACACCCACTGGACATTATGAGTACCTGGTCATGCCCTTCGGCCTCTGCAACAGCCCTGCCGTTTTCCAGCGTTTCATCACTGATGTCCTCCGTGACATGCTGGGTCGTTGGGTTTTTGTTTATTTGGACGACATCCTCATCTACTCCCGCACGGCTGAGGAACACACCCAGCATGTTCGAGCCGTTCTGTCACGCCTCCTGGAGCATGACTTATTCTGTAAACTGGAGAAGTGTGCTTTTCACCAGGAGTCCACCTCGTTTCTGGGATTCATCATCTCCTCCCAGGGCCTGCGCATGGACCCACAGAAGGTTCAGGCGGTCGCGCAGTGGCCACTACCCAAGACCCTGAAGCAGTTGCAGAGTTTCCTGGGGTTCTGCAACTTCTACCGCCGGTTTATCCGCAACTTCAGCTCCCTGGCGTCACCATTAACTTCCCTGACGAAAACAACCAATCAGCCTCGCCCTTTCCGCCTCTCCCCGGAGGCCGTTGCTGCCTTCCATGAGCTGGTCCGCCGCTTTGTAAGCGAGCCCATCCTCCTCCACCCGGACCTAACACGGCCTTTCGTTGTGGAGGTGGACGCCTCTGAGACGGGCGCGGGAGCCGTACTGTCACAACGTGGCCAGGACTCCAAACTCCATCCCTGCGCATTCTTTTCCCGGAAGTTCTCTCCTACCCAGCAGAACTATGGGGTCGGGGACCGGGAATTGTTGGCGATAAAGTGGGCCCTGGAGGAGTGGCGACAGTGGCTCCTGGGTACCCCCACTCCTTTTCTAATCTGGACTGATCATCAGAACCTCATCCATATTCAGACCGCTCGCCAACTCAACCCTCGTCAGGCCCGGTGGGCCCTCTTTTTCGAACCTTATAACTTTCACATCGCCTACCGCCCCGGCTCAAAGAACCTCAAGGCGGACGCCCTGTCCCGTCAACACACCCAGGATCCAAGGCCTCCTGAACCGAGGTCCATCCTCCCGACCGAACGGTTCTTGGCCGCCCTGCAATGGCCCCTGGAAGCCTCCATCCGGGCGGCTCTCCCGGCGGACCCGGCGCCCCCAGAGACGCCTCCTAACCGCCTTTACGTTCCGGCCGTGTGTCGACAGGAGGCCTTGAGGTGGGGGCATAGTTCACGGCTCGCGGGACACCAAGGCCAGGCTCGTACCTTCCAGTTCCTCCGCCGGGCCCTGTGGTGGCCCTCTATGAGAAAGGACGTGCGTGAATACACCGCTGCATGTGACACTTGCACCCGGTCTAAGTCCACCACCCAACCTGGAGCCGGGGAATTGCAACCGCTCCCTGTGCCTAAAAGGCCGTGGTCGCACATAGGTGTGGACTTTGTCACGGGGCTTCCCGCTGCCGACCACCTGGACACCATCCTCACCATCACCGACCGCTTTTCGAAGGCTGTGCACTTAGTGGCTATGGCAGGGCTCCCCACGGCTAAGAAAACGGCGGAGCTCCTCCTCGATCATGTGGTGAGGCTCCACGGATTCCCCCAGGACGTGGTGTCTGACAGAGGGCCTCAGTTCATCTCACGTTTCTGGAAGGCTTTCTGTCAGTTGGTGGGCGCTTCCGCCAGTCTGTCGTCAGGCTATCATCCCCAGACTAATGGTCAGACGGAGAGAGCAAACCAGCAGCTTGGGCGTTACTTACGCTGCTTCGCCTCGTCTCAACCGTCCACCTGGCCTCGTTACCTCCTATGGGCGGAGCTCTCTCACAACCTCCAGACGTCCTAAGCCACGGGTCTATCGCCCTTCGAGACCTGCTACGGATACCAGCCCCCTCTTTTCGACCATCAGGTGCCGGAGGTGGAGGTTCCGGCGGCTCAGGATATGGTCCGCCGCTGCCGTCTCGCTTGGATCAGGGCTCGCGCCGCCATCACCCGGGCTAATACGGAGTACTCCCGACAACACCGCCGCCGCCACCGGCCCGGCCCTGTGTTCCAGCCTGGTGACCGGGTTTGGCTCTCTACCGCAAACCTCCGGTTTCCGGCTGGTTCCAGGAAGCTGTCGCCTCGCTTTTTGGGGCCCTTCCCAGTCCGAGATGTCCTCGGTCCGGTCGCTTACCGGCTGCGCCTCCCTTCCACTCTTAAGGTGCACCCGGTATTCCACGTCTCACAGCTCATGCCGGTGGTGTCTTCTCCTCTCCATCCGCCTCCGGCCCGGGTGCCGATGCCCCGAGATGTCGATGGGGACCCCGTCTACACCGTCCGCAAGATTCTGGACGCCCGCCGCCGGGGCCGTGGATGGCAGTATTTGGTGGACTGGCAGGGTTACGGTCCGGAGGAGCGTAGCTGGGAGCCTGCCCGCTCGTTTCTGGATCCTTCCCTGTTGGCTGATTTCTGGTCTCGTCGCCCTGGGCCTTCTGGAGCCGTCCCTCGTGGGGGGGGGGGGTCCTGTCATGAACTCCTCCTCTTAACCTCCTCTGCGGGCCGGGCTGGCGCTGCACTCCAGTTCCCAGCATGCCTGTCACCGACGCTTCCCGGTGACGTCATCCCGCTGAGCCTATTTAAGGACCTGTCACAGCGGAGCCGGCACTCAGTCCTCATCTAACGATAGACGCCAAGCCATTCTAAGACCTAAGACACTAACTCTACGAACCATACGGGAAGAGAACTTCCCACGCTGCCACATATCAGTCTCCATCCACCATTCTCTCCGCGCCTGGGTCTCATAACCACTCCAGCTCAGCCTATCGAACCTGACACCCATAGAGACAGTGTCCTGCCCACGGCCAAAATCACACAGATTAAATATCAGGCTTAATAAAGCAAATCATGGAAATCTCATAAATATTAGAACAAATTCAAATGAGCAGAAAACTAGAAAAATTAAATGTAGGTTGTTGAACATTAGATCCATTTTTTTCTAAGACTTTGTTAGTTAATGTCTTGATTTGTGATAATCAGATCTCTTTGCTCTCTCTCACAGAATCCTGGCTGCAGCAAGAGGACTATGTTAGCTTAAACGAGTCGACTCCTTCAAATTATTTAAATCATCATATTGCTCGAAGTACAGGGTGAGGAGGAGGAGTAGCACCCATTTTTTATTCAGACTTATTAATCAGTCCCTTACCAATTAATAGCTACAGTTCGTTCGAACATCTTATTCTTAGTTTTCCTAATCCAGATTGCAAAACTGTAAAACCACTCTTGTTTGTAGTTTTATATCGTCCACCAGGCCCTTACTCTGAGTTTGTGGATCAGATCTCTGATATTTTTATCTGATTTGGTGGTAAATACTGACAAGGTCATTGTAGTGGGGGATTTTAATATTCATGTGGACATTGAAAATGATAGCCTCAATGTAGCCTTTAGTAATATCCTAGACTCAATTGGTTTTACTCAAAGAATACATAGCTCCACCCACTCCTGCCATCATACATTGGACCTTGCTGACTTATGGCATAGAGTGTGAGGAAATAATGATCTTTCCACATAATCCAGTCCTCTCGGACCACTTTCTGATAACCTTTGAGTTTTTTATAACTGAGTTCTTGAGACATGAAAGTAAATTTCACTATAGTCGGTCTCTATCTGACAACGCAGTTGCATCTTGTAAATCAACTGTTCCATCTTTACTGTCCTCAGCATCTCAGAGGAACGTAGCAGAGGGCAATATTTTCAGTTCTAGCCCCTCACAAATTGATGCCTTAGTTCATCATGTTAATTCCTCTTTATGTGTGGCATTAGATGATGTTGCCCTTTTAAAAAAGAAGGTAATTAGGGACAGGAAGTTTGCTCCCTGGTTTAATTCTCATTTACGAGCCTTAAAACAAAACTCTAGGAAATTGGAGAGAACATGGCACTCTATGTACCATGAGGAGGCCTACCTATCCTGGAAAAATAGTCTTGTGCTTTATAAAAATAAGCTTCGACAAACTAGAACTGCTTATTTTTCAGCATTAGTTGAGGAGAATAAGCATAATCCTAAATTTCTTTTCAGTACAGTTGCTAAACTTACACAGAATCATAGCTCTGAGCCATCTATTCTCTTAGCCCTCAGCAGCAATGACTTCATGGGATTTTTTACAAGTAAAATTAATTCTATTAGAAATAAAATCTTTAGCATCCTCCCTAATGTGATTTCTTCTTCCTCAGTAAGTGAGGTAGCATCAGAGGTGACTGTAGAACCTCATCTGTGCTTGAACCGTTTTGATCCAGTTGAGCTTTCAGAGTTATCAAAAATATTAGCTTCATCTAAACCTTCAACTTGCATTTTGGATCCAATCCCAACCAAATTATTTGATTGTTGTGGGATGAGTCACCTGCCACCAAGTAATTGGACAACCTATCATTGAGGGAAGGTACTCATATAAATAGGGCCTGAGGTGGCGCTACAGCGATCTTTTACTTTGGCTTAACTTCCGCTTCCTATGTGAAGAGCCGTTGTGTACGGGACTCCGGCGTGTCAGACTGTGAGTACTATCTAAAAACGCTGCAGTAGTTGCATGGAGTCTGGTGTTTATTGGCTGCTCCTGCCTCAGGAATTGTTGTATGTGGTCCTCACAGAGTAACTGAAGGCTTCTCTTGTATCCTATGTGCTTCAAAGAAGTGGTATGTACATCTGCGCTCCTCTCCACTTAGCTGTGGCTGTAGGATAATACTAATTAATGTGTCTTCCAGATCCAGGAAGGGGTGTGTCTCCACAGGAGACTCTGTTGTTCTGCTGTTCTGCTGCTGTTATGCACGGTTTCATGGGATCTCTGTTTACCGGTTGTTGACCCGGTACTGGACCATCATCCGGCTCCAAGACCTCTCCACCCCGCTGCTCGGACTGGTTGACGGGATCAGCGGAGACCATCGGGAGCGGCTTTTGTCACTCGCTCCTCTGTACTGAATACCAGCGGAGGGCGTACACCCGCTGTCGGGTTGGGTATTCTAACGAGGGGATGCGGGCCCTACCGGCAGTTGTCGTCGGCCCGGGAATTCATAAGGACGGCTGAGCGCAGGCTAATAGACTCGTGTGCAGGCGAGCTGTATGCTCTCTCATTTCCTGACGGCCTGCCTGCTCAGTCGTGGCTGTGTTTTAGTGTGTGTGTGTGTGTGTGTGTGTGTGTGTGTGGATTTGGATTTTTACTGTGCTTTCTGTTTTCTTTTCATTTAGGCTGTGAGCTGACAGTGGTGGTCGAGCCCTGGTGGTGGTCCCTTTGATGGTGTGCGTGTGCTCCAGAGTCACTTCACCCCCCGAATGCATGCACGTGTGATTGGGGTGAAATTACTTGTGGTTGGTATTTAGTTCCGGGCTCTCTTAGGCAGTCCCATTAGTCAGCCTCAGCCTAAGATGATTTGGTTTTAATCAGTGTTTATCTACAGGTGCATAGTGTTTTAGATTATTTTAAACTCATTTTATTCTTTGAATAAAATCTCTGTGTGGAATGGAACTCCGTCTCAAGCTTGATTTGTAAAAATGAACTAATGTGCCTTAAGTTCAGTGGTTTTGGTTCCTGATAATCAGGTGGCGTTGTATTTCTAAATTGATAAGTGGCCCCGCTCGCCACATAAAGCAGCATTTCCTTTGGTTACTGCCCCCATTCTAGATATAATCAATCTATCCTTAGTAAATGGGTATGTACCACAAGATTTTAAGGTTGCTGTAATCAAACCTTCACTTAAGAAGCCTTCTCTGGATCCAGATGACCCAATTAATTATAGACCAATATCTAACCTTCCATTTTTATCCAAAGTCCTGGAGAAAATAGTGGCCATCCAAGTAAGCAGTTAAACACTAATGCTCTGTTTGAGGAATTTCAGTCTGGTTTCAGAGAGTATCACAGCACTGAAGCTGCATTAGTGAGAGTTACAAATGATATTCTGATGGCCTCAGATAAGAATCTTGTCTGTTCTAGTCTTGTTAGATCTCAGTGCTGCCTTTGACACAGTTGATCACAATGTTCTTTTAGAAAGACTTGAACGTGTTGTAGGGATCAAAGGAACAGCGTTAGGCTGGTTTAAATCCTACCTGTCTGACAGATTTCATTTTGTAAATGTACATGACAAATCGTCTGGTTAAAATGACGTCTATGGTTGTCACACACAGGTGTGTGTGCGAAATTTGTTCTCCGCATTTGACCCATCCCCTGGGGGAGCGGTGAGCTGCAGACACAGCCGCGCTCGGGAACTACTTGGTGGTTTAACCCCCCAATCCAACCCCTTAATGCTGAGTGGCATTGGGTCCCATTTTTTCAAAGTCTTTGGTATGACCCGACCAGGAATCGAACCCCTGATCTCCCAGTCTCAGGGAGAACACTCTACCACTAGGCCACTGAGAAAGGTATAAATAAAATTTAAGAGATTTTATCATCAAATTAGATTTTCATCTTATCCATATTGTGATTCTAATCTGGATTTTGTTAAAATTAAAAGTGTTTTCCTCAACACACATGAAAAACAACACACAAAGATATAATTTAATTTGGTCTTTTAATGCTTTGTTTTTTATTATTAGTTTTGACAATAAATAAATAATTAGTAGTTGCGGTACTTGAATCATGTTTATAGCTAAAATGTCTTTCTAATTAAAAAAATTGAACTTTTTATTTTATGAAAAAAACTTTTCTAACCTTTGTTTACTGAAAAAAAAACGTGTTTGCATTTGGCAAAAACAAGTTCTGAATGTACCAAAAGGTTTAAGGAGGAGCTACTAGTTTCTTGAATGAGGATGCATAATGGGCGTCAGCTCGAAGGGTATTATTTGCATTTAAATCAAATCCTGTCTACTACCATTTGTTCCCTTTGCAAACCCACCAACAAAGGTACATGTTGTGCAAGAGGTGAATGTGTGTGTGTGTATGTGGGGGGGGGGGGGGGGGGGGGGGGGGGTTAAATTTGTCTACACTGTGTGCTCTTAACTAGATCAATCATATAGAAAAATTGCACCACTACAAATAAAAAGTAAAAACTGATATCTGCTTCTGGTGTATTCTACAACTGCATCTCATTTATTTTATTTTTGGAAGCTTCTTTTAAATTACTATTTGGAGTTTTGACAATTAAACACATTTTTGTTGCAGTATTTGAATCACATTTATAGCTAAAGAAGTATTTTTCTCATAAAAATAATAAATTCTTGGACTTTTCTAACTTGTTTACTGAAAAAAAATCCTTTTTGCATTTGGCAAAAACAAGTTCTGAATATTCAGGAATGTTTGAGGAGGAGCTGCTACTCAGATTGAATGAGGATGGACATTGTATAGACGAGCATCAGTATAGTCGAGCATTGCATTTAAATCATATCCTGTTAACTGTCCTATATACCCTTTGTTACCTTTCAGAAAACCACCAATAAAGAAAGGTACATGTTGTGCAAGAGGAGACTGATGATGATGAAGGTGTGTGTGTGTTGTTCTTTACAAAGTGTGTAAATAAAACTACAAGTAAAACAATTTAAAAAATAAAAACTGATATCTGGTGGCTTCTATAACTGCATATTTTATTTGTAGAGAATATTTTTTAAATGTTTAGGTTTCACATCCCTATATTATAACAACCTGCCTTCACAGCCCTCCAATGTTTTTTGTTAGTATTTGGAGTTTTGACAATAATAAAGTTAACCATTATTCCATTTCCATGGCTAAAACAGTTTTTCTACCAAAAACAATTGGATATTTTTTGTAAACTTTGTTTACTGAAAAACTCATTTTTGCCGTTTACAAACGTTTACTTTCTAAAATCCACCAGCAAAGAAATGTAAGATTTACATGTTGCTGCCCTCACAGCCCTCCAATGAAATGGCTTGTTGTAACAACCCTGAAAATCAACCAATTACTGTGACTGATGTTCTAGCCAGTCCTCTGATTTGTTTTGGTCATCACATGTTCCACGACCGTCTTCCAATCAGCTTAATCTGTCTCTGTTTTTGTTCTTATTTTATCCCTTGTTTTTTTCCACAAGATCCATTTCCAGTTAGTTGCTCTTTGCTATTTGGCTACTTCGGATTTATTTGTCAACCACTCACTCCTTAGTTCGCTTGCTTCAGGTAAGAAAAAGTTTTATCATGTGCTTGTTATTGTAGTTCTATTTTTGGTTTTAAAAAGGCAGTAGCATATATCTGCCCTCAAACAATGCCACATGGGTAGCTACCACATGGTAGCTTACCAGCTGTAGTTTATACGGTCTGTTCAAGTAAAGTCAAACAAACTAACTGGACTTTTCACTTGATTTAGAAAAATATCAATCTAATTTCAAGCAAGATGACTCTGCTATTCTATTGATATAACTACAACCAGTATATTTGTAGAGTTAGCAGTCCAGCTACCGTCAGCCACTTGGTAGCCCCGTTGCTAAGAGGGACTTGTTCTCCCATGTCTGCTCAATCAGTAAACCTATGGGCGAATGTTCTGCCTTAACCCCAAAATTCCACGACCTCCGCTCCGGCACGAACTCCGCAGCAAAATCGGTCCCGTTGTAGTCAATCAGAGCTGTTCCACTACTGCGGCCATGCGGCGCAGTGCGCCGCCCGCCATTCCACCATCCGGCGAAGATAGGATCGATTCTATTTTTGCCGGAGCACCTCCACAGTCAATGGACAGAAATCACAACCGCCCAACAGGAAAGGGAGCAAGCACAACTTCTGTTATTTCACAATAAATCGATAAACAAAAAGCGTTTTTGCACAGGTTTAAAAACTTTTAACAACTATCAATGGCGGCTGAACTTTAAATGCACAAAAGTAAGCCATAAATACAGTTTCTACTATAAAAGTAGTCACACTTTGTCGATCCAAACACTGCTGATCTCTCAACACAAATGATGGGCAGATTAAACAGTTCATTTTGATGCTTCACCCACACAACGGGTGTTTGGATCTAACTTCCGCGTTTATTGCTCGGACTGTATCGCAAGATCTCGAAAATTCCGCACATGCCTGTTTGCGCACCTAAGGTCTCCGCACCGGAGCGGAGCCGTTGTAGAGCGGGTATAGTTCATTCCATCTGTATGCTGACGATTGCCAGATTTACTCTCCATTGTGTCAGGAGAAAGGTCACTTTATTCAGTCCTTTGTCTCCTGTTAATGAGGTGAAGTCTTGGCTAATGTCCAACTATCTACATCTGAATGAGGGAAAGACAGAGCTCATTGTTTTTCACCCCAACAGCAGGAATGTGGATCGTTGTGTTGATCTTGGCCCTCTTTCTCTGTACTCAAAACCAGTTGTTACCAGTTTGGGGGTGAAACTTGATGTAGGACTTAAATTTGATGCTCACATCAATTCTGTGGTCCGGTTTCTTTCACCTGAGATGCCTTGCTAAAATCAAGCATATGCTGTCGAGAGCCCACCTGGAGCGGGTACTGCATGCCTTTGTAATTTCTCGGCTTGATTACTGCAACTCTCTATATGCAGGGTTGTGTCAGTCAACACTGCATCGCCTACAGGTTGTGCAGAACAGCGCTGCCAGGTTCCTGACTGGGACCAGGAAACGGGACCACATCAGTCCAGTTCTGGCCTCCCGGCACTGGCTTCCGATTTGCTATCGCTCACAATTCAAAATACTCCTCTTTGTTTATCATTTCTTCCAGGGTGGTGGTCCCCCCTATCTAGCCACTCTCCTGAACAAACAATCCCCATCACGCGCTCTGCGCTCCTCTGACCAAGGCCTGCTCGCTGTCCCTCAGTCTAGGTGTCGTATCCGTGGGGACCGGGCTTTCTCAGTCCTAGCACCGTTACTCTGGAACCAGTTGCCACCTTCAGTTAGGCTGTCCCCTTCTCTGCCAGTCTTTAAGAATCACCTAAAAACACACCTCCGCTTGGCGTTCCCTGAACATGTTTGATTTTGGCCCTCTTTTATGTTGAATCCATTCCACAGTTTTCATTGGTACACTCAATTCATCCACTCAATCCAAATGTGTTTCACACATTTGTCCTTTACCGGACTGTTTCATCTATCTTGTAAATTCCATTTTGTATTTTGTAATTTGTAATTTGAATTTCTTTTATTATTGATTTATTCAATATATTTACTTACAACTGTACCATGTTCAGCGCTTTGGGCTTCCTGACAGGGTTGCGGAAGGCGCTTTATAAATAAAGCTTTGATTGATTGATTTAGTATAATTTGAGTTCGGAAGCGAGCGGCAGCGGAAAGCGAGGGCGGAGCAGAGCGGAGATAGTGGAATTTTGGGGTTAGAAATTTGTGTTTGGGGCAGGGGGCGTGATGGACATTTAGCCATTTGAGCAAGGATGTATCTAAAATATCCCAAGGACTGGACTTGGGCAACCCAGTCTTCCAAACTAGCAAAAGACTAAAGAGAATCAAATTGTTTAGTTAGCCAGTATTAAACATTGTAACACAAAATATTGCTTTAGTTTGAGATGTGTAGTCAAAAGCTAAATTTTCATAAATATTTCCTGTTTTTGTAGGATGAAGCGTTCACACCAGTACTTAAGAAGCTGGAGGAGGGCAACTCAAGAAATTAGGTCCTTGCAAGACAGACTTACAGTGAGCTCCTCTTGTCAAAAGGTGGCACGTGAGGATCCTGAATATAAATCAGAGGTGCTGGAGGTGAACAGAGATGAGGCATCCAGCAGAGATGGTGTGTATATTTTCCTTTATGTTTATCCAATTTATTCAGACTATACTTCAATTTCTCCTCTAGACTGCCCACTAGCTACTTTAGACTGCTGTCAAATTTATTTGTTTAATTTATAGTTTTGATGTTTTTCCCCCTTCAGTTCCTGTTTTGAAGAGGACAACACTGCCAACTGAGTCCCTCAACGGTGAAGGTACACATTTTATCTTCTGCTGTAACTAAAATGTCAACTGATTTGTATATTTACCTTTTAAAACTTTGCACTACTACTATTTAAATGTGTTTTGTCAACTCATAGATTTACTGGCCACAAGTACACCAAGGCAAAGAGTCACCCCAAGGCAAAAATCCACTGAAGGCAAGTAACTTAAAATACCTCTACCAAAAACTAGCATGGTGTATTAAAATGTTTTGGTAGTTGGTTTTTTTTTTTTTTGAGAACTTATCATTTTCTCATTTCAGATCAAGCATCAGGCATCGCTGATGTTTTAAGGAATATTGCTGCAATCACAGGTGAGACTGAGTTTCCCCTTCTTAAAAGGTCCACTGATAAGTTAAATCTATTATTTGTGTTGTAATTTATGATTCTTCTTTTGTCCAAGATATCTGCAAGTCACTGCTGATAAAAATGAACATGATGGAGGGGAAAATGCACGCCATGGAGAAGCTGCTCCATAATTTGGCTTCTCGGCATTCTGAGAGCCAAACTCAAGATAATCTGCGCCTGGAGCCTTGTAAAGATGCGGAGGACTTTACCTTGCTTGACAATAACTTGCAGGACAAGGCATATTTCCAGCAAGCTGTAAGTAAACAATTGTAGACATTCAGAAAATGGTTTTAATGAAATCTGATATTTTATTTGATCAACTTTGTACAATTTATAAGGTCCGTTTTCTAAGCCTCATTGGAGGACGGAAGCTGGGTGAAAATACAAGAAGGACCATGCTGGCTGTCGCCAGCAATGCTGTTTGGTGTGGATACAGCCTGTATGGGAAGAAGCAGAAAGCCAAGCTGTGTAACCTTAAAATATTCAGGCTGATCAAACGTGAGTTGATGCTTTTTACTGGACTTGTTTTATAGAATTTCATTAAATCTTTTTACAGCTGTCTGTCACAACTGTAAAACTGTTTCAGTAATCTTAAGGTTTCTTGTATATCACCTGTCTGTTCCCAGGTTCTGTGAAGACCTCGCGTCCAGACTCCACAGATAAGGACATAGAGGTGCAAATAATGGAAGTCCTTAAGCATGCTCCCCAGAAAGTCAGAAGAGAGGTAATTGATTTATAACTGAAAGCTTGTTGGAGACATTTATGTGTTAATTGCTCACTCATTTATACCTCCTTTTTTTCCCCTTCAGGCTGAAGCACAGCATCGTGCCACACAAATGGAGGCCCATTCTTCTGAGGAGGACTAAGTGAACCTGCACCCTTTCTGTTTTATTTTTCTCAGTTTTGTTCACAATTTTTGATTTTCTATTTTTATTTATATATTTTTGATCTTTTTTTTTGAAGCACCTTGTGATTTTTATTTTGAGAGGCGCTATAAAAATGTTTTGTTTAAATTGTGTATGCAAATGTCAAACCTTTATGTAATAAAAAGCTGAAAAGTCAGTTTATTGTCCATCCTTTGTGAAATTACATCTGATCCTGCTGCCTACTATTCAATTCAAAAATACTTGATTAATCCCAGAGGGAAATTGATTGCTGTAGTAGCTCAGAATAATAATAATAATGAAGTCATCAAAGAGTTATTGTATATTAATTCAATTCAAGTTTTTTTATATAGCGCCAAATCATGACAAGAGTCGTCTCAAGGCCCTTCACATAATAAACATTCCAATTCAGGTCAGTTCATTAAGCCAGTCAGAAATAATTTTTCCTATATAAGGAACCCAGCAAATTGCATCAAGTCACTGACTAGTGTCAGTGACTATACAGCAATCCTCATACTAAGCAAGCATAAAGCGACAGTGGAGAGGAAAACTCCCTTTTAACAGGAAGTAACCTCCAGAGAATCCCGACTCAGTATAAGCAGCCATCCTCCACGACTCACTGGGGATCGAGAAGACAGAGCAGACACACACACACACACACACACACACGCGCGCACACACGCACACTCACAAAGACTAGTAATGTGTCTATAGTTATATTGTGATGTCTTAGTAAATATTCTATTTGGTGAAAGATAAACTTTATTGTATTTATCCTAGTGGATCTATAATTAAACGGATAAACTAGTAGTAGCACATCCAACGTCAAGGAAAGCAAAAAGTTATTATCAGGAGAAGGATAATGTTTAAGTGGTTAGCAGCAGTGTGCTAGTCGATGGCCCCCTCCATGAGGCCACCACAGCTCAGCAGAACGTCGTTGTAGCTTCTTGTGGCACCTTCCTACCGGGTGGGTGGGCTATATTATATATCTACCAGATACAAAATCCCACCCAAGGATTACACCAGGTAATTTGAGAGCGTCTGCCAGAGATCAAAGGAATCAGCCATTAACCACCGCACTGGGGTTTATTGAAAATTCTAATTAAAACATCATTTAAAAAACCAGGTTAGGACAGTCACTATAAACGGTTGTCAGAACTAGGCCGGAGAGTCTGCAGCCTTATCTGGACGCTGCGGGGCAGATTCCTCCTCCTTGGGGACGCTTATCTGCCACGCTGCCGGTTTCCTCTTCTCTCGATAGCTCGCCTCCTCCTTCAAGACGCGCGTCTGCCGCACCGCCGTTTCCCTCGATCGGCCGCTTCCTCCTGCAGATCAGTCACTGGCTCGGCCGCGTCACCGCGCCGCGCTGTCGTCCTCCTCTGTTGCGGGTCCACCTGTCAGTGAATTTAACGGCAGTCACTGCTCGATCACACACCACGGGTCACACCTTGTCACAGGGCCGCTACTCACACGCCAGGGCAGAGGAATACCCTGCCCACATCTCCATGAAGCCTCGTCACAGACGATCGGTGTCCTTTCACCGGGCTATTCTCTGCTTGCTGCCACCGTCTCCACCAAAACACAGACGCTCCTAATCTGCCACCGGTGCAGAGCTGGGAGCTGGTTCCACAGGAGAGGAGCCTGATAACTAAAAGATCTGCCTCCCGTCCTAATTTTAGATATTCTGGGAACCACCAGTAGACCTGCAGTCTGAGAGCGAAGTGCTCGGTTAGGAACATATGGAACAATCAGATCACTGATGTATGATGGAGCTTGATTATTAACAGCTTTATGTGTGAGATGAAGGATCTTAAAATCTATTCTGAATTTAACAGGTAGCCAATGTAGGGAAGCTAAGACAGGAGAGATATGATCTCTCTTTTTAATTCTCATCAGAACTCTAGCTGCAGTATTTTGGACAAGCTGAAGACTTTTAACTACATTCTGTGGACTTCCTGAGAGTAATGAATTACAGTAATCCAGTCTTGATGTAACAAATGCATGAACTAATTTTTCAGCATCACTCCTGGAAAGGATGCTTCTAATCTTAGCAATATTCCGAAGGTGGACAAAGGAAATCCTACAAACTTGTGAAACCTAGGATTTGAATGACATGTCCTGGTCAAAGATAACACCAAGGTTCCTTACTTTGTTCTCGGAGATTAATGTAATGCCATTAAGGTCAGGCGATTGGCTAAGCAATTTCCTTTTCTGGATTTCTGGTCCAAAGATGAGAACTTCTGTCTTGTCTTGATTTAAAAGCAAAAAGTTTAGAGTCATCCAACTTTTTATGTCCTCAAGACAAGCCTGTAATCTACCCAACCGATTAGGTTAATCAGGGTTAATGGATAAATATAACTGAGTATCATCAGCATAACAGTGGAAGTTTATCCCATGCTGTCTAATGATTTTACCAATTGGGAGCATATATATAGTAAAAAGAATTTGTCCAAGCACGGAACCCTGTGGTACTCCACAAGTAACCCTAGAGTATGAAGAAGATTTGTCATGTACATTTACAAAATGAAATCTATCAGACAGGTAAGATTTAAACCAGCCTAGAGCTGTTCCTTTGATCCCTACAACATGTTCCAATCTTTCTAAAAGAACATTGTGATCTACTGTGTCAAAGGCAGCACTGAGATCTAACAAGACTAGAACAGACACAAGATTCTTATCTGAGGCCATGAGAATATCATTTGTAACTCTCACTAATGCAGTTTCAGTGCTGTGATACTCTCTAAAACCAGACTGAAATTCCTCAAACAGATCATTAGTGTTTAACTGCTCACATACTTGGATGGCCACTATTTTCTCCAGGACTTTGGATAAAAATGAAAGGTTAGATATTGGTCTATAGTTAATTGGGTCATCTGGATCCAGAGAAGGCTTCTTAAGTGAAGGTTTGATTACAGCAACCTTAAAATCCTGTGGTACATGTCCATTTACTAAGGATAGATTGATTATATCTAGAATGTGTCACGGCGTGTGGGCGAGGTGAGCAGAAGTGAGACGAGGATCCAGACGCAGGAAGAAAGACTGGCAAACAGGTAGGAATTCTTAACACTTATTTATTAGGAGACACACTGGACACTAAAACAATGAACCGACACAAGACACAGAACAGAAGGGGCTTAAATACAACAGGGCCGGGAGCTAGAGTGATTGGGAAAACGAGAGGCAGGTGGGAGCAATTAACAAGACACAAGGCTGAACCAAACGGGGAGACAGGGTGTGATAGAATGGGGGCAGTAACCAAAGGAAATGCTTCTTTAAATAATTTGGTTGGGATTGGATCTAAAATGCAAGTTGAAGGTTTAGATGAAGCTAATATTTGTCAGGACTCAGGTATCTCCCGGCTGACCTTCGGACCACAACTCCCGACATGCCCCTCGTGGGGAGCTCCCAGCGTGCTCCTCGCGGGGATTCCCTCCACGTCACAGCCAAGCAAGGCTATATATGGAAGACGCCGTGACCGGCTTCTCATCTCAGTCATCGTTTCTTCCTCACAGAGAAATAATAAAACTGTTAAACGTCTCACCTTGTTCGTCTCCTTCATCCAGTCTGATCAGCCTGACAGGATGACTGAGATCCGAGTAGATTCGACGGAGATCGATCGTCTCCGCCACGAGAACGTGCAGCTGCGTTCCATGGTAGATCAGCTCAACACCAAGGTGAACTCCTTGTCCGACCACACCCTGCGTCTATCCACGGCTCTCACGGCTCTCCAACAACAGGCAAACGATCAGCAGCAACAGATCGCTGCACTCCAGCAGCCAACCCGCTCTGCTACTAGGGAGGAGCCCCACTTCAGCCTGCCGGAGAGGTGGAACGGGGAGACGGGGAGCCCCGATGGTCTGCTCGCCACGCTGGACATGCAGTTCGAGTGCCAACCTGGACGCTACCCATCTGCGCGCTCCCGAGTGGCGCATCTCACCTCCCTGCTCTCTGGACGCGCCGCGGAGTGGGCTGCTGCGCTTTACAATTCCAAATCCCCTGCCTGCAACGACTATGCTGCGTTTGTGTCCGCTCTCCGGAAGACCTTTGTTCCCCCCAGCAGCGAAGTGGGAGCAGAGACACGCCTTCTCAAACTCCGCCAGCGAGAACGCTCGGTGTGCGCTTATGCGTCGGAGTTTCGCACCATCTCCGCCAAGCTGCAGTGGAATGACTCCGCTCTGCGGGCCGCCTTCCTGGAGGGGCTGGCACCCTACATCCGTGATGAGTTGGCGGGAAGGGAGCTGCCTCAGACCCTGGATGAGGTGGTTGATCTGGCGCTGCGCATCGACCAGCGGGTTATGGTTCGACCCAAGTTATCCACGCGTCCACCCAGGACGCCGGTGCCTCGCCCTCGTTCACCCACGCCAGCTCCTGTACCCATGCTGGCGGAGGAGCCCATGCAGCTCGGCCACCTTCCCCCCGAGGAGAGACAACGACGGTGGCGCGAGGGCCTCTGTGCCTACTGTGGCTCTCCCGACCACCGACGCCTGGACTGCCCGCTACGATCGGGAAACGGGGGGCCCCACTGAGTATTGGGGTCGCTCAGTCTGGGTCTTCTTCTACCCCTGTCGCTACTAACCGTCTCCTTATTCCTGTCACCCTCCTCCATGGTGAGGCCTCACTCCACGTAAACGCATTGGTGGACTCGGGGGCCGCGGACAATTTCATGGACCTAGATCTGGCAAAACGCCTACGGATCCCCCTACAACCCCTGGAGAGAGTTATACCAGTGACCTCGGTGGACGGTAGGCCTCTCCAACCCTACCCAGTCCGAGACCGAACCCAGTCACTCCGTATGATCACCCAAGGCCACCAGGAGACCCTCCATTTCCTGGTCATTTCTGCTCCCTCTTCTCCTCTAATCCTGGGGTTCCCCTGGCTCCGTCTCCACGACCCTCATATTTCCTGGTCCCAGAACCGCCTGCTGGGCTGGGGGACCTCGTGCCAGACCCACCTCGTTCCTCCTCCATCCTCGGCGGGTCTTCCGGACGGGGGCCCCGGCTCCACACCGCCCCACCTGCCGCTGCCCTATCGGGACCTGGCCGCGGTGTTCGACAAGCGGCGTGCCACCTCCCTGCCACCTCACCGGCCATATGATATGGAGATCAAGCTGCTACCCGGAACCAGTCCTCCCCGCGGGCTCCTTTTCTCTCTCGCGCCTCCTGAGACCAATGCGATGGAAGAATACATCGCCCAGGCCCTCCAGCAGGGGTTCATCCGACCCTCCTCCTCTCCGGGTGCCGCTGGCTTCTTCTTCGTGAAGAAAAAGGAAGGCGATCTTCGCCCCTGTATAGACTATCGGGGTCTGAACAAGATCACGGTCAAGGATCGCCATCCTCTGCCGCTCCTCACTACCGCTCTGGATGCCATCTCCCAGACACGGATCTTTACGAAACTGGATCTCCGGAGCGCCTACAATCTGGTCCGTATAAAGGCCGGGGATGAGTGGAAGACCGCGTTCATAACACCCACCGGCCACTGGGAGTACCTGGTTATGCCCTTCGGACTATGCAATAGCCCTGCTGTCTTCCAACGTCTCATTAATGATGTCCTCCGCGACATGCTGGGACGGTGGGTGTTCGCCTATCTG